TGGTCCTGGTTTACTTTTAACGTCATAGCATGTGCTTATCCATCAATTTTGTATCAACTATTTTTCCCAAAATATTTGTTTTTTTATATCACATACGACTTCTCCTAACGGTGATGACAAACTTTGGCAAATTGGGTTTTGGCAACTCGGTTACGGCAAACTGGGTTCTTATATTTTCGGTGAACTTGATTCGGCAAACTGGGTTTCATCATAGTGGCCATAAACTCGGGCAAACCGGATTTTGGCAAACTGGATTTCGACAAACTGGTCGGATACTTTTGGTTTCTACTAGAAAATATATTTTTTTATATGCTACAAATGATCTGAAGTTATTTAAATGTTTGTTTAATTAATAATGTAGCAGATAAGGAATGACATATATGTTACCTTATATTTTAAATTAGAAATCAGTTTACAGTAATAAGGAGACTGATGTTTCATAAAGTAAGTTTATATTAACATTTTTTTTTAACCTTTTTAATTATTTTCTTTGTTGACTAACAGTTTTTAGTACTTAACTGTTGATCAGATGAATGGCAAATGTTGCCATATATTTCTTTGTTGTAAATATTAATCTCTATTTTTTAATCAATTTAACAGTTTTAAAAATTACAAACCCATGATGAATCTTTAAAATAATTGCTCTGACTTTCCTTAGTAAATACAGAGGATGGGCATCTGAAACTTACCGGAACAGTCTGGCCATGGCAATTCAACTGGAGTATCATTTAAAGGTGGAGGTTGAACCCATTTGCCATCTGCATAAGTACAAATGACATTATATATTAGAACATATTAGTTGAACAGTCTCTATCATTAATACTTAATATCATTTGGTCATATATCATACAGGTACAGTATATATATTATCAACCCCAAAAAAAATTATGTACACATAATTATTTGTATATTATTTTGTTCCATCATGGGGTGGGAGAGCCACATATAAAGTGATTTATTTTTGCTATTAGTAATCCTGTCCACCTCCTGAAACGTTTAATTGTCTTGCTTTTTGTATTTAATAATTTAAATGAAATGAAATACCAGTCTTGCCAAAAACAATTGCAAAAAAATTATTAAAGGCTTATGATGCATACAAATGGAAGAAGACGACCATGGTAGGAAAAATAGGGCATTCAAGAACATTTAATGTTGCTTTATTAGGCTCAATTTAAAATAAATTTTTAAAAAGCCAAAAATTACAAACAACGAATAATAACAAAATTTGGTAACTTGTGCATGACAGCCTCAGAATGGTCAGTGTGTGGTACTCATGACCACAAAGGTCAGAATAAAAACCGCTGCCCCAAACCAGATTTCCATAATAATAGTAAAATTCTTATCTTAATGAATCGCTAAAAACCTACCTGAGCAGAAGTACGCCTTTTCGGGTGTACGTGAAAATTCATAGCCAGCATGGCAATAGATCCGGTAAACTTGATTACCTGACCAGGAATCATATGCAACAGCTCCATTTGCAGGGGGTGGTTGGAAAGGACATGAATAAGCTGAAAAAATATGTGGTTTGATAATAATAATAATAATTAATAATAATAATAATAATAATAATAATAATAATAATAATAATAATAATAATAATAATAATAATAATACAGGTAATAATAATAATAATAATAATACAGGTAATAATAATAATAATAATTCTTATTATAATTATCATAATCATAATCATCATTATTACCATCATTATTATTATTATTATTATTATTATTATTATTATTAGTAGTAGTATTATTATTATTATTGTTGATAATATTATTGTTATATCACCAGTTGTCATCTGTATTACTCTATATTCCAGTTGTATGTAATCATTTACAAATTTGAATTATTATGTGATCATTGTGGTCATCTTTGATCAAATAAATTGTTCTAAATGTATACTTACGCTTCACTTTCACAGAAAAATTGCAAAAGGCTGTGTTTTTTGAGGAATCCTCAACCTTGTAGGAAACTAGCAATACTTCAAATTGGTTGAACCGATAACCAGAGTATTTGTTTGATTGAAGAGTAAATTTGCCAGAATTATCTTTAAATTCTGGTTCTTTCCAGGTTACATTGATGGTGCTTTGCGAACTTTCTATTTCAATGTCAGTGGGACAGGAGACCACAGCTGGTGGCTCTCTATCTGGAAGTAAATATTATGTACGTGTTGTGTTTTAATTTTATCGATGATGATTGATTCTTTGAATACTTATTGACTTAAAAGAATAGATGTCTGACTGTTGAATTATTGAATATTTTATTTGACTGTATGGATGTTAGAAAATCTTACCAAGAAAAACAACTCCACTCATTTTTTTTATGAAGTTTCATCAAAATATAATAGTGTTTAGATCAGTGTGTAGGCCTAAAGCTACAACTGTTCATATCTATTATTACTGTATGTAATGACATCTCGTCTATTTGAAGAAGTGTATCAATTTTATAATTTATTTAAATATTGAAATTTAACAATTATTAAACATTTTAATGTTTTTAAACTTTTAAATTGAAATTTCACACTTTATAGCAATTTAGTATTGTCATCCATTTTTACTAAATTATTCGTCTGCCATTTGTTATGCTGATTTTTTACTTCTGTGTTTTGTATTCTTTGTTTTAATGTAAGACCCCAACGGAAATAAGGTCTTTTTGTGTTTCTTTATACAGTATTTGTTTTTAAAAATTTTATGAACGCACTGTCAATTGCTACGCAAATAAATTATTATTATTATTATTATTAATATTATTATTATTATTATTGTTATTGTTATTATTACTATTATTAATTATTGTTGTTGTTTTTGTTATTGTTTTTGTTATTATTGTGATGAAAAGTTAATGTTTCTCCCTTAATATAGGTGCCGCACTGGAGGAGTTTTACTGTATATATACTTTTACTGTATATATATATATATATATATATATATATATATATATATATATATATAAATAAAATATAACATTAACTTTAATTTTTAAACTCGAATGGCCAAAGCAAGCACAAACAATGGCTTATTTTTCCGAATTATTATATGCATTGTTTCTTTAAAACTTTCTAAATAAGTTAAAATCATGTGGAATTTTACTCCATACCTATTACGTTAACATTGAAATTACAATAAGCCTTATTCTTTTCAGCATCTTTAACTAGGAATTTTACAAGAGTTGTCCCAATACTAAACTCCTGGCCTGTCGTTGCTGGTATTCTTTTTTCTCTAGGAGTAAGCTTATCTCCAGAGTTATCATTAACGATTAGCGAGGGCCAAGTTACCACTGCTGTATCCTTCGATGGATCTGTATCGGCTTCAATATCCTGAGGACAATTTGTAATTACAGGTGGTTCAATATCTATAAACAAATATATATATATAAGTATGTTTCAAGCTAGGTTAGACATAAAATAGGCATCTAAAGCTTCTACCAATACCCACACTTCCAATATTTCTATCGCCATCATTGATGTTGACAGATCTCATCTCTACGTTAATGTTCAAACCATTCCCTTCATCTTAAGATCATCAATATAAATAAATGGAAATCACGGCCCTCATGATTCCCACGTGTAGTTAAAAAGGTTTTATTTCTCCTCTTTTTGATTTTATTATTTACTATATGAGGCATAATATGTTCTACCAATAGCAAAAAAAGAATATGATATAAGTCATAGTTATATTATTATGAACTTTAGGTCTCGCTCCATATAAAGACCACTTTGGGCACCCATTTAGTGCTCTGTGTTAGCTTTGGTCTTTTAAAAAATAATATGAAGGATAGGTGTTCATCCTTGGCATTTGAAGTGTTCATTAAATTCGAGGTAGTCCGTAATTACATAAATACACGTATACAGATTTAGTTTTGGCACAACTGCTTCAAGTCAATGATCTCCTGCCATAACTTTTTACAAATACTTAATCATTTAATTGAAATTTCAGAGCCGGGATTGACGTGCTTCTAGGTGTAATTCAAAGGCCTATCTCTGGGTGCGGGATAGAAAAATGACGATAGTGGAGTGAAGTGGACATGAACTCCATGTGTGTGTGGGTCTCTGGCTGGGGTAGACGAAGTTGTGGGTTGTTAGTGATGCGTTGACACAGACAGCTCTTCTTTAACCTTACAATATCCATACATCAATTCACTTTACTGTCAATATGGAAGCTAGCAACAGGCGGTTGCACCCCATTTTACCATGTTTTACTCAATAATGTTGATAATGTTGATGAGTTTCTATTACAATTTAGAGGAAAAAATCAAACCTTCACCAACCTTTGCATTCTGTAGTAATGTTTTTTGATTTTGACCACGCCTGATTGGCTTGACACACATGTGATTTTGGACCTATAAGACCATAACCATCGACGCACGAAATATTACATACTGATTTGTAAGGAAGCGTAGAATTCAAACATTCACTGGGTGTAAGTATCATATTTGCTCCACCTTGATGAAGATCTATAACAGGACATTCTAGGGCTAGCAAATAAAAAATTGACAATATGGATTAATACGAAAGTTATTCTGGATTTGAGTCTATGCTCTTGAAATAAAATATCTTAACAACCACATGGAAAACGGTTACTTCAAATTTCTGGTATCAGGTGTTTACAAACACGCCTAATAGTAAATTCTAATTTGTAGTAGTGCTCATCTTTTCACTTGTATTTTTAAATAAACTACGCTATATGTATGCTCTCGTTTTTTAACAGATTTTGAAAGTATTTATTATTTTATGTAAGAATAGGTCTCAGGTTAGAAGTTCTCGAGTTACTGAGATTAGTTTATGTGTAATAAAATATATACAAACAAATAAACGTAGAGCTTATCCTTTTCAACTATTTTTGTACACATTGATGCCATAAACTAAGACAAAAATATGTAAAACATGCAACATTAATTTCTTTTAAAAAATGGCTTACGTTCACATGTCTGTGTATTCCCGCTCCAAATACCAGAGAGCTCACAAGTCCGGATAGCATCTCCGCTTATACTGTACCCTTCCTCACAATTCACTTCACATTCCGTACTGACGGATAGTTTGCTACTGTTACATCTTAAAGTCCCAAACTCCACATTCGGCAGCGTTTTGCAAAGGATTTCTAAAATTAGTTTTTAGAAAGGTATATAAATGTAATAACAAGGGCCTGATATATATTAGCTGAGTGAAGAAAAACGAGGATAAAGAGCATTGCCCAAGAACACAAACGAATACGTAAAATATTTGTTTATGTATTTTTATTACTTTATTTAAATATTTTTAAAAGTAGACCTAAGAACATAGGTTGTTAATTGGAAGTTAGATCATTTGTTTAAACAAACAGGGAAGATCAGCATCTCTCTTTTCCGTGCAGTCTTGTATAATCTATAAACTGTACATATAATATTAACAGGTTCTATAATGTAGATCATACACTTTTGCTAAAGAGTTGGTTTAAATCATAGCATGATTGTCCAAAAAAAGAATTTCCAAGCTATAGTTAAAGTAGCAGTCTACGTGTGTGTGAATGATGGTTGGCCATCAGTCTCAGAAATAGGGTTTAAATAACCTGAACGACTAACAACTCTGATAACCCGATTTCACTGTTCTTGGGACAAAAATTCTTTTTGTGGTCTGGCTAACTACTGAAAGTTAAACTGTAGCTGAGGGGTATATGACAAAACAAACATAAATATCGATGGTGATTGTGGTAATCAATGCCGTAGCCAGAATTTTTAGACAGTGCGGGACAATATCAGGGTGGACCCACATTACACGTATTGGCAAATAATGTGGACCAATTTTCTTTAAAGTTGACCCATTTTACGCAACAATATGAAAAATATGGACCCACTTACTTAAATTTTTTTCAATAGTGGAATCATTTTATGCATAAAACTGCATAATTTGGACAAATGTTGGACATATTCTTTGTAGACCCATTAGAAAAATTGTGTGGGACTGTCCCAACAGCTGGCTACGGCATTGGTGGTAATGGTGTTACTGAAGATGGTGATTACGATGAATACAATGACTCTGATTAGTTTATGCTGTTGATTATACATGCTTACCAGAACATTGTAGAGGAGTGCCAGACCAAGAGCTGTTTGGTTGGCATGTTCTTACTGCATTTCCACTAATTGTTTTGTAGTTGGTAGCGCATTTAAATCGACACTCATCATTCAATACATTGCCACAGTTTGATGACACCTTGATGACACCTATGCTAGGTGTCAATACACTACATGTCACAACTGAAAACGGATAATATATATATATATATATATATATATATATAGTACAAATCTTGACATTCTTTAACTCCTAAACAACTGTAAAAAAATGTTTAATTCAGTTTAGAATGAAAACTACATTTTTCTATTGTATTCCTGTCTCTTATACGCATCTAGATGTGTATAAGAGACGGAGCTTATCCTTTTCAGCGATTTGTGTAC